AACAGAGCAAAACTTTTGTAAAGTGAATCACGTTTTAATTCATTGCTACATGACATTGCTATTTTCATGATGCGATTCTTTTTGGGAGAGTATATATTAAGTTAATATCAACTACATTTAATAAGTACATTTTGTAAAACTAGACGATCCATTCGGTTTATACCATATTTGTTTCCTGATACGATGATACTTCCGTATCGGGAGACATCAGAGGGTTTTACTTTGGATGAAAGCAACGAAACTTTGAAACGAACAGTGCAGGAAATGCACATTGCCACGTGAATATGACACATGATGACCAGTCACTAACCGGTAACGTAGAGAACACGTTATTTGATGCTTCGACTGAAACTATGGAATGTTTATGTCAGAGTATTTATCCTCTTATGATGAAATAATATTTACGTTAATGAACGATTCAGGACCAGGCAAACCAGTGGTTGACATAAGGAGCAACGGTCAATGTGTTTGGATGCTATATATCAACCGACCGCCTCCGTGGTGAAGTGGTTAGAGCGTCCGCCCGGAGAGCCGAAGGTCGCGGCTTCGATCCCCGGTCGCGTCATACCAAAAGACGTTAAAATATGGTACTTGTTGGTCCCTGCCTGGCGCTCGGCATTAATGGGTACAACAAGGACTGGTCGGCTCGGAGTCAGTATAATGCGTCCGAGGGGAATTCATGCTTCACTGCGTCATGGCATCTCAGTGGGCTAGCACTATAAAACCAGCTAAAGTCTGGGCTAGTACAAGCAGCCGCTGTTAGCAATATTCCAGTAATATAAGGACGGGGACACCTGAAATGGGCTTCACACACTGTGCCCATGTGAGGAATCGAACCTGGGCTACCCCACCACGTGAGTGGGAGTGAGTGAGGGAGTGGATGGATGGGTGCGGACGGGGACACCAGACATGGGCTTCACGCATTGTGCCAATGTGGTTCAGTGCCTGTGAAAACGTTTAACACAATCTAAATGATAAAAATTCAGCAACAATGAAACGTACCTAATGAAGTTAATCTACCTTTCGCTTCAAGTTATTGTTTCAAAATCATACGCTATACGCTGTTGAAAATGCGTTAAATCAAGTCGCCGTCGGTGCCACGGGATGGATATAGACAATATATGATGTCAACGTGACACTGTCTGCCTTGACACTACTGTGATGTCAACGTGACACTGTCTGGCTTGACACTACTGTGATGTCAACGTGACACTGTCTGCCTTGACACTACTGTGATGTCAACGTGACACTGTCTGGCTTGACACTACTGTGATGTCAACGTGACACTGTCTGGCTTGACACTACTGTAGCCAGTAAAGGATTATAATACAATTTCATCAAAGCCACATCTTGTATATCACACAACCGATATTACCAGATGATAAATACTGAATACGTACAACCAAAGTAAAAAGGGTGAGTAATCACATGTTTATTTAGGATACAAGCATACTGTGTTGGAAAATCCAGTGATTGATATAATGAACATCGATCTACAGCAGCTGACGGTCTTACAGAGTGTCCATCCGAATACCAGAAACAAAACATTTTGACACCTCTTGTATCAAAATGTATCTGTAAGACTTTAAACATCCTCTTTATTACAAATGTGCTAAACACCAATTCTAAGCTGGATCTTCACGGGTGGAGAAAAACATGGGTTGCTGAAGACCAGTTGTAACCCGGATCTGTATGGGTGGAGACAAGCATGGGTTGCTGAAAACCAGTTCTAACCAGGATCGTCAAGGGTAGAGACAAGCATGGGTTGCTGAAGACCAGTTCTAACCCGGACCTTCACGGGTAGAGACAAGCATGGGTTGCTGGAGACCAGTTGTAACCCGGGTCGTCACGGGTAGAGACAAGCATGGGTTGCTGAAGACCAGTTCTAACCCGGACCTTCACGGGTAGAGACAAGCATGGGTTGCTGAAGACCAGTTGTAACCCGGACCTTCACGGGTAGAGACAAGCATGGGTTGCTGAAGACCAGTTGTAACCCGGACCTTCACGGGTAGAGACAAGCATGGGTTGCTTGAAGACCAGTTCTAACCCGGACCTTCACGGGAAGAGACAAGCATGGGTTGCTGAAGACCAGTTCTAACCCGGACCTTCACGGGTAGAGACAAGCATGGGTTGCTGAAGACCAGTTGTAACCCGGGTCGTCACGGGTAGAGACAAGCATGGGTTGCTGAAGACCAGTTGTAACCCGGATCGTCAAAGGGTAGAGACAAGCATGGGTTTCTGAAGACCAGTTGTAATCCAGATCGTCACGGGTAGAGACAAGCATGGGTTTCTGAAGACCAGTTGTAACCCAGATCGTCAAGGGTAGAGACAAGCATGGGTTGCTGAAGACCAGTTCTAACCCGGACCTTCACAGGTAGAGAAAGAAGCATGGGTTGCTGAAGACCAGTTGTAACCCGAATCTTCATGGGTAGAGACAAGCATGGGTTCTTGAAGACCGGTTGTAACCCGGATCTTCACGGGTAGAGAGACAAGCATGGGTTGCTGAAGACCAGTTGTAACCTGGATCGTCACGGGTAGAGGCAAGCATATGTTGCTGAAGACCAGTTGTAACCTGGATCTTCACGGATAGAGACAAGCATGGGTTGCTGAAGACCAGTTGTAACCTGGATCATAACGGGTAGAGACAAGCAGGGGTTGTTGAAGACCAGTTGTAACCCGGATCTTCATGGGTAGAGACAAGCATGGGTTGGTTGAAGACCAGTTGTAACCCGGACCTTCACGGGTAGAGACAAGCATGGGTTGCTGAAGACCAGTTCTAACCCGGATCTTCACGGGTAGAGACAAGCATGGGTTGCTGAAGACCAGTTGTAACCCGGACCTTCACGGGTAGAGACAAGCATGGGTTGCTGAAGACCAGTTCTAACCCGGACCTTCACGGGAAGAGACAAGCATGGGTTGCTGAAGACCAGTTCTAACCCGGACCTTCACGGGTAGAGACAAGCATGGGTTGCTGAAGACCAGTTGTAACCCGGATCGTCACGGGTAGAGACAAGCATGGGTTGCTGAAGACCAGTTGTAACCCGGATCGTCAAGGGTAGAGACAAGCATGGGTTTCTGAAGACCAGTTGTAATCCAGATCGTCACGGGTAGAGACAAGCATGGGTTTCTGAAGACCAGTTGTAACCCAGATCGTCAAGGGTAGAGACAAGCATGGGTTGCTGAAGACCAGTTCTAACCGGACCTTCACAGGTAGAGACAAGCATGGGTTGCTGAAGACCAGTTGCTAACCCGAATCTTCATGGGTAGAGACAAGCATGGGTTTCTGAAGACCGGTTGTAACCCGGATCTTCACGGGTAGAGACAAGCATGGGTTGCTGAAGACCAGTTGTAACCTGGATCGTCACGGGTAGAGGCAAGCATATGTTGCTGAAGACCAGTTGTAACCTGGATCTTCACGGATAGAGACAAGCATGGGTTGCTGAAGACCAGTTGTAACCTGGATCATAACGGGTAGAGACAAGCAGGGGTTGTTGAAGACCAGTTGTAACCCGGATCTTCATGGGTAGAGACAAGCATGGGTTGCTGAAGACCAGTTCTAACCCAGACCGTCACGGGTAGAGACAAGCATGGGTTGCTGAAGACCAGTTCTAACCCGGATCTTCACGGGTAGAGACAAGCATGGGTTGCTGAAGACCAATTGTAACCCGGATCGTCACGGGTGGAGACAAGCATGGGTTGCTGACGACCAGTTCTAAACTGGATCGTCACGGGTAGAGACAAGCATGGGTTGCTGAAGACCAGTTGTAACCCCTGATCGTCACGGGTAGAGACAAGCATGGGTTGCTGAAGACCAGTTCTAATCATGGATCGTCAAAGGGTAGAGACAAGCATGGGTTGCTGAAGACCAGTTCTAACCCAGATCGTCACGGGTGGAGACAAGCATGGGTTGCTGAAGACCAGTTCTAACCTGGATCTTCACGGGTAGAAACAATCAAGGGTTGCTGAAGACCAATTCTAACCCGGATCGTCACGGGTAGAGACAAGCAAGAGTTGCTGAAGACCAATTCTAACCCGGATCGTCACGGGTAGAGACAAGCATGGGTTGCTGAAGACCAGTTCTAACCCGACCTTCACAGGTAGAGACAAGCATGGGTTGCTGAAGACCAATTCTAACCCGGGTCGTCACGGGTAGAGACAAGCATGGGTTGCTGAAGACCAGTTGTAACCGGACCTTCACGGGTAGAGACAATCATGGGTTGCTGAAGACCAGTTCTAATCATGGATCGTCACGGGTAGAGACAAGCATGGGTTGCTGAAGATCAATTCTAACCCGGATCTTCACGGGTAGAGACAAGCATGGGTTGCTGAAGACCAGTTCTAACCCAGATCGTCACGGGTGGAGACAAGCATGGGTTGCTGAAGACCAGTTCTAACCTGGATCTTCACGGGTAGAGACAATCAAGGGTTGCTGAAGACCAATTCTAACCCGGATCTTCACGGGTAGAGACAAGCAAGAGTTGCTGAAGACCAATTCCTAACCCGGATCGTCACGGGTAGAGACAAGCATGGGTTGCTGAAGACCAATTCTAACCCGGGTCGTCACGGGTAGAGACAAGCATGGGTTGTTGAAGACCAGTTGTAACCGGACCTTCACGGGTAGAGACAAACATGGGTTGCTGAAGACCAATTCTAACCCGGTCGTCACGGGTAGAGACAAGCATGGGTTGCTGAAGACCAATTCTAACCTAGATCTTCACGGGTAGAGAAAACGTGGGTTGCTGAAGACCAATTCTAACCCGTATCATCACGGGTAGAGACAAGCATGGGTTGCTGAAGACCAGTTGTAACCCGGATCGTCAAGGGTAGAGACAAGCATAGGTTGCTGAAGACAAATTCTAACCCAGATCTTCACGGGTAGTGACAAGCAAGGGTTGCTGAAGACCAGTTCTAACCCACATCTTCACGGGTGGAGGCAAGCAAGGTTCGCCGAATTATGTTACAGTAAGCTCGGCAATCCCCTAAAATGGGTATTCGATTTTTCACAGTGTCTCACTGCTAGTGTCTTCCTCTGAAGCAAGAGGTGCATCTTTGTACCACGTAGTGTCCGCATCGCGCTCTTGGCTTCCACTGGATACCGCAGGGTCTGCTTCATGCACGTAGTGGATGTCAACCTTTGTAGGTTGGGTTGCGTGGTTGTGCCATCGTCTCCACACCAGAACGACTACGGTGGCAATGAAGACAGTGATAGCAATGGGGAAAATCACCACGCTGATGAGAGTTAAATAATCTTCTTCAGTTGATCCTTTCTCCGTCGTGCTTGTGTTTGTGACGTCAGTTTCTGTTGTTGAGATTCGAGGGGTACCTGTAGGAATTGAAGAGATGGTTAGACATGCAGTGCAAGATAAAAATTATTCACACGTGTTCGATGAAAGGCCACAGTGTACTACATTCACACTAACACGGCGCGATGAGATAGCCTAGTGGTTAGAGCGTTCGTTCGTCCCGGTTCGATTCCCCACATGGGTACAATGTGTGAAGCCCATTTCTATTGTCCCCCCGTGATATTGCTGGAATATTGCTAAAAGCGGCGTAAAACTAAATTCATCCACTCACTTACACTTACACAGTCCTCCGATCTGTTTACGTTTGTATGGCACTTACGACTATGTAAGCGCTAAGATAGCTTTGGTTCCCGGTTCCCTTTGCGAGCTCCAACTTGCGATATGCGAGACGGGCCCAGCTTCTGGTTCAAAATTGCGCAACCCCCAAAATATGACTTTACTGGACCGGACCAAGTGTACAACCATGCTTGGCTGTCACAGCTGTTGATAGTCGTAGTAGTAATTTGGGGATGGTTAGATCGGATATTTGTTATTCCTGCAAGGATTATCGGCTCCGTATTGTCAAATGACGGCCATGAGGCCATTCGAAAAGGCATGAAACGTTGTTTGTCACCGGAAGTACTAAACAACGCAAGGTCTCGCGAAGTGCCGTGACCTACTTACGGGTCCTATAAAGGGAACGGGTAGTTTTGACTCTTACTCTGACAAGTGCCTGTGCGCCTTCACAGGACATCGCCTGACTGTTGCTGCCACACGAAAACAAAAGGCCCACGTCTCCAAAGTGGGATGTCGTGATGTTAAATGTTATGTTTACACCGCTGTCGTCAGTGCAGTAACAGCTTCATTCAGAAGAGTGCTTGTTATTCCACCCGTCTTCACCTGGACGTGGGCTGCTTCAGAACAGTAGTACCCTCTTAAGATGATGGTCAGTGATAATTCCTCGCCCACTCTCACTGTCCTCGTGCTCTGTTTGCTCATTATTCGACAAGCCGGACTTTCTGAAACAATGGATGTGCATTGACATATTTGAAGTGTATAATAATGTGTGTGAACTTTCGTTTACGTTAACTGTCCTCGAGATGTCAATTGTGAAACTTGTGTGTCGAGTCTGACGACCATACGGTACTCTCGAAGTAAAGACTTGGTCGCTGCATATCCCTTATTTAGTCGGAAATTTGGGGTTGACCTAGGATAACTCGAATTATTTATATAGGTCCTCAAAAAGCTATAGATCGACACGACGGTGTTCGACTGTGGTATATCATATGTTATAATCACATGGTGCAGTAAGTGAGTGAGCTTAATTTTACGCCGCTTTTTGCAATATTCCTGCAATATCTCTGCGGGGGACAGTAGAAATTGGCTTCTCAGGTTGTACCCATGTTGGGAATCGAACCCGGGTCTTCGGCGTGACGAGCGAACGCTTTAGCCATTAGGCAATCCCACCGACCTCATATGGTGTGACTGGACCGTTTCACTACTCATGGAACAAATTATGATGAATCGTTGAACAAACCAACGTGAAGAGAAATTGAGAACCTGAAGAAACTCTAGACTTCCTTCATGTAAGGCTTCACAATGACTCGGTGGAAGGGACTGGTTATATATTCCAGCTAAATGGTAGCGATTTGTAAATAATCGAATCTGGGCCAGACAATCCAGTGATCAGCATCTTGATCAGCATCTTGCGTTTTACGCAGTTAGAAACGATGACATGTGTCATCATCAGTGAGCCTGACCTCGCATGGGTTCCGAATGCCAATTCTAAGCCAAATATTCACAGTAGAAAGGAAAAGAATATTGTTCAGGGACTGTGAGTTCTTGCTTCACTTATTATGGTGGATTCCAACAATGGTATTGAGAACGATACAGGTATATATAGGAATGTTTTGATGCTGCTATAAAACATTTAAAACACAAGTGAGTGAGTGAGTTTAGTTGTACGCCGCACTAAGCAGTATTCCAGCTATATGGCGGCGGCCTGTAAATAATCGAGTCTGGATCAGAAAATCCAGTGATCAACAACATGAGCATCGATCTGCGCAATTGGCAACCGATGGCATGTGTCAACCAAGTCAGCGAGCCTGACCACCCGATCCCGTTAGTCGCCTCTTACAAGCATAGTCGCCTTTTGTGGCAAGCATGGGTTGCTGAAGACCTATTCTACCCGGATCTTCACGGGTCATTTGACATTTAATTCAGGGAAAATACCCAAAACATTAGAGACCGGATAGGTCCGATTGTATGCTTACTTTCAACAGTTAGATAACACGTGTCTGGACTAGGGCTATCGGCATCAACAACACATGTCCAGGATCCAGCATGAGTCGGGAGAAGGCGCGGTATAGCGAGGATACTGGATGACTTGTTCAGGACCGTTGCTGTAAAGTCATCAAGTGTTATGCATTTGTTTTCTGCCAAATCACAAGACGCTGCAGTGGTTCCAATTGGAGTTGAGTAGGAATGTGCACCTGTGTGGAAGGCTTGAATACACGTCAGTTTGACAGGGGAGTCAAGTTCCGTTATCTTGGGACAAAGTAGTTCCCCTGCACCTGTTGCAAAACATAGACGATGTACAAATAGCAAAGATATTGTGATTTGTTGAGATGGGCAAGCATTGTCTTAATTGCAGGTTGCCTGTTACATAGAGTTTGTTTGTTTGTTGTGTAAGACTCAGCAATAAGCCAGCTATCAAATAATCGAGTCTGGACCAGACAATCCAGTGATCAACAAAATGAGCATCGATCTACACAACTGGGAGAGGATGACAAGTGTCAATTAAATAGCGAGCATGACCACCCGATTCCGTTAGTCGCCTCTTAAGACAAGCATGGTTTCCTGAAGACCAAGTGTAACCAGGGTCTTCACGGGTTAAACGTGAAGGGAGTCTGATCCCTGTACCAGAAATTTGGAAGTCATTGGAGCAATACTTTAGGATATTACCAGACTTGAAATTGAAACTTTGGAATTATTTTTAAATTATCTGCCCTTGGTTCTTGAACATAGAACCTTGAGGCCAGGCACACCTTGGTGATTCTTTAAAGAGATATTGACCACTGGTTCATGCGTTATGAAGGCCACAAAAAACGCCGGAACAATACTAATAAATAATAATAAATCGAACGATTACATTAGGTCTCCTGCCTTTTAGGCATGGATCCCTAAATGAAAATATATCGCCCAGTGCTGAAACTACCCGTGACGATCCTGATTAGAATTGGTCTTCAGCAACCTGTGCATGTCGCTGAGTGGGTCTGGACATGTAATCGTTTCACAATAGATGCACAGAGACTGATTGGTCTTAATTCGACATGAACAATATTTTGTTTTCTACGATCATGTTTCTTGAGGTTGTTGTTTAACTCGAATCTTCTATGTGGACAAGGTCAGACTGAGCTGAAAATGTTCCCTTTCTGTGTATACAAAGTCAGATACAGTTTGAATGTCATGATCGGCCAGTGCGTCAATAGTTCTGTACGTTTCTATGTAGACATTGTCATGCCGTGTTCCTTTTAATGTGTATATATGGTCAAATACGGTTTGAATGTCATGATCGGCCAGAGCGTCAATAGTTCTGTACGTTTCTATGTAGACAATGTCAGGCCGTGTTCCCTTTAATGTGTATATATGGTCAGATACGGTTTAAATACCATGGTAAAACAGATGTTATGTGTTATGTGTTATCCTGTTATTTGCAGGCATGAGTGAGTGAGTGAGTTAAGATTTAGAGTAACATCGGCAATATTTCAGCCATATCGTGACTAAAACTAGTTCTTAATTCATAATACATACATAAAATATATAAAACCCTGTCAACGAAGGACAGTAAAACCACTAGATTACCACAGATTGAGTTAGAACTAGCTAGCACATGTGTTTAAAAGTAGAAAATTAGTTTAGACAATGCAATGTAAAAATGGGCTCTAGATCGCCAACAACCGAAGGAAGATTTCCATACTAGACTGCAGGCATGATCAGGCATTGCAAAAATAATGTTTGATTGGCCGTTTAGATGTTGGTGAGTAATAAGAAAGTAAGATTCTTTATGGATAACAACTTCTTTATTTATGGATAACAACTTCTTTATTTATGGATAGCAACTTCTTTATTTATCGATAACAACTTCTTTATTTATGGATAACAACTTCTTTAACAACTTCTTTATTTATGGATAACAACTTCTTTATTTATGGATAACAACTACTTTATTTATGGATAACAACTTCTTTTTTATGGATAACAACTTCTTTATTTATGGATAACAACTTCTTTATCGCTTCAGCTTTTATTGCTTATTAATCTTATCAGCCATGTCTTTTCTGCTTCTGCCTCAAGGATCACTGGCTTCCTCTTATTGTCACAACATTATTACCACCATCCACTGTTGTTGTTGTTAATCCCCTTGATTCATACCTACATGTTGTTATTTCTTAATTCCTGTTGATGGATATAAGTCCGTTCTGTGCCGTAGTACTTCACTCTTGCTTGACAACGCTATAAGAATCCATACCGAAACGCCGCATCATATATAATAAAGAAGTTGTTGTCCATAAAGAATCTTACGTTTTTATTGCAAAAATTTTAGTGTTCATATTTGGATATAGTAGTAGCATGGTGAATGCTAAGTGGCCATAGTCAAATATATTTCAAAGAGAAGTGGTTCTTTCTCTACTGGCATGAAGATTTACTGTGTACATAGTTATGTTCCTCTAGATATGTCCAGACATTGTTTGAACAGCAGTGAAGGTGTCCTGTGTAGACATGATCAGACATTACGAGAACAGCAGTGAAGGTGTTCTGTGTAGACATGATCAGACATTACGAGAACAGCAGTGAAAGTGTTCTGTGTAGACATGATCAGACATTACGAGAATAGCAGTGAAAGTGTTCTGTGTAGACATGATCAGACATTACGAGAATAGCAGTGAAGGTGTCCTGTGTAGACATGATCAGACATTACGAGAACAGCAGTGAAGGTGTTCTGTGTAGACATGATCAGACATTACGAGAACAGCAGTGAATGTGTTCTGTGTAGACATGATCAGCCATTACGAGAACAGCAGTGAAAGTGTTCTGTGTAGACATGACCAGTAATGGTTCTCTTTCTGTAGCCATGATGAATTACTATGTAAATAGGTGTGTTCCTGAAGACAAGACCAGACACAGAGTGAATATAAGTCAAATTGCTCTGAACAAACATGATCAGACATTCCGAGTATAGCAGTGAAAGTGTTTTGTGTAGACATGATGAAATACTATGTAAATAGTTGTGTTCCTGAAGAAAGGACCAGACACAGTGAATATAAGTCAAATTGCTGAACAAACATGATCAGACATTGCGAGTATAGCAGTGAAAGTGTTTTGTGTAGACATGATGAATTACTATGTAAATAGTTGTGTTCCTGAAGAAATGACCAGACATTCAGTAAATAACAGTCAAAATTACTCTGAAAAGACATGAGGAGATATTCCGAGAATAGCAGTGAAAGTGTTCAGGGTGACAATACCACGACAGTGTTCCTGTTCCGTATTGCCGTTATCAGACATTGTAATGACAAGTGTATTCCATTTCTTTGTAGACATGCACTGAGAAGGTGTAAATGTGTGACATATTGGGATATGTAGCAAAGGTTGTGTAAAATACCAAAGCAGGTATACATGATCTGTGTCGACATTTTAAATTTTGAGAATATTTGATATTCATTTCTTCCATAATAAATAAGATGATACCTATGTAAACGTTTAATTCTAATATAATTAATTTAATTCAATTCTAATATAATTGAAAAGAAAATATTTGACTGAAAACAAACATTAATTGATTCTCTTTTTTAGTTGTTAACAAATGAACATTCCAATAAAGAAAGTAGTTGCTTACAATAAGGCCATACCGCCACCAGACTTAGCAGAACATATATGAATGGAGTATTGAACTGTGTCGTTTTTGAAACGAACATCTGAAAAATAGGAATTAGTGAAATTTCTCAAACAGAATTATAAGTATAAAAATCTAAATTGGAAGACTTATATTTTGATTCGCACATACTCAACTGTATATCGATATAGCCACACATACATACCTTTCATATAACATGCCGAGGGACATTGGGATAGCCTAGTCATTACAGCGTTCGATCGTCACACAGACCCGAGTTCGATTCCACCCATGATTTCGCTGGAGTCTTGCTAAAGCGGCGTAAACCTAAATTCTCTCACTCACTCAAATAACGCGTGGTCGAGACACCTGAAGACGTGATCTGATCATGCAGTTAATGTCAGCATCTATATTCAAAACACACATAAGGGAATGCTCTCTACATACCTTCACTTTTAGCCTGTGACTGGTTGTGACAAGGCTGACATTACCGCCGTCCAACATAATATATATGTCCTTCCTGGTGTGTCACATTCACGATTTCCTTATTATATTAAATACGCATGTCATCGTGTTTTTGTAAACATGAACATACCCACCTACGTCGGATGATATGGCCATCGCTGAGTATTTACATCCCCAGGCGTTTCTAAGGAGAGGTCACTATCAAGCTTAAAATGTCTTACTGACATCGTCAACATATATTGTCAAATAACATGAACAATATAAGCAGGCTAAACCGAGACCGATTCAGTTTCTAGTGCGAAACCTTGTGTAATGACAGCTATTTCCTTCATAAATCCAGAAGATAATTTGTATAAAATTATCTTTGTGAAGAAGTAATTCAGATACAATTGCATATTTTGGTTTCGGATCAATTTATATACAAAAAGTAAGGCAATGCTTGATGCATACTTACTCCGTTGTACGTTAACGTACTCCACAGTGTCTGTTGTACGCTAACGTACTCCAATGTGACTGCTGTACGTTAACGTACTCCACTGTGTCTGTTGTACGTTAATGTAATCCACTGTGACTGTTGTACGTTAACGTTCTCCACTGTGTCTGCTGTACGTTAAAGTACTCCACTGTGACTGCTGTACGTTAACGTTCTCCACTATGTCTGTTGTACGTTAACGTACTCCACTGTGTCTGTTGTACGTTAACGTTCTCCACTGTGTCTGCTGTACGTTAACGTACTCCACTGTGTTGTACTTAACGTAATCTGTGACTGTTGTACGTTAACGTTCTCCACTATATGTCTGCTGTACGTGTGACTGTTGTACGTTAACGTTCTCCACTATGTCTGCTGTACGTTAACGTACTCCACCATGTCGTTGTCGTTAACGTTCTCCACTGTGTCTGCTGTACGTTAACGTACTCCACCGTGTCTGCTGTACGTTAACGTACTCCACTGTGACTGTTGTACTTTAAAGTACTCCACTGTGTCTGTTGTACGTTAACGTACTCCACCGTGTCTGTTGTACGTCAACGTACTCCACTGTGTCTGTTGTACGTTAACGCATTCCACTGTGTCCGTTGTACTTCAACGTACTCCACTGTGTCTGTTGTACGTCAACGTACTCCACTGTGTCTGCTGTACGTTAACGTACTCAACCGTGTCTGCTGTACGTTAACGTACTCCACTGTGTCTGTTGTACGTTAACGTACTCCAATGTGACTGCTGTACGTTAACGTACTCCACTGTGTCTGTTGTACGTTAACGTACTCCAATGTGTCTGTTGTACGTTAACGTACTCAACTGTGTCTTTTGTACGTCAACGTACTCCACTGTGTCTGCTGTACGTTAACGTACTCTACTGTGTCTGTTGTACTTCAACGTACTCCACTGTGTCTTTTGTACGTCAACGTACTCCACTGTGTCTGTTGTACGTTAACGTACTCCACTGTGTCTGTTGTACGTCAACGTACTCCACTGTGTCTGTTGTACGTTAACGTACTTCACTGTGTCTGTTGTACGTTAACGTACTCCACTGTGTCTGTTGTACGTTAAAGTACTCCACTGTGACTGTTGTACGTTAACGTACTCCAATGTGACTGCTGTACGTTAACGTACTCCACTGTGTCTGTTGTACGTTAACGTACTCCACTGTGTCTGTTGTACGTTAACGTACTCCACTGTGACTGCTGTACGTTAACGTACTCCACTGTGACTGTTTAACGTAAACTAACATAAGTAAATGGTTTGGTTGTTGTTTAACGCCGCACTCGACAATATTCCAACTATGTGGCAGCAGTCTGTAAATAATCGAGTCTGGACCAAACAATCCAGTGATAAACAACATGAGTATCGACCTACGCAATTGGGGTATGATCACAACCACGTCAGCGAGCCTGACCACCCGATCCCGTTTGTCGCCCCTTACGACAAGCATGGGTTACTGAAGAACAATTCTAAAACGGACCTTCACGGGTCAGTAGTAGTAGTGAGGTGAGGTGAAATTGGGTTTAACGTCGTGCTTGAGAATATTTCGCTCATATGACGACGTGCATGCGTGTGTATGTGTATGTGCGGCTGCTTGTACTAGCCCAGACTGAAACTGGTTTTATAGTGCTATCTCACTGAGATACCATGCCGCAGTGAAGCATGAATACCCCACTCAGACATATTATACTGACTCCGGGCCGACCAGTCCTTGTTGTACCCATTAATAGTAGTAATAGTAGTAGTAGTAGCATAGTAGTAGTAGTAGTAGTAGTAGTAGTAGTAGTAATAGTAGTAGTAGTAGTAGTAGTAGTAGTAGTAGTAGTAGTAGTAGTAGTAGTAGTAGCAGCAGTCGCTTTTACGACATGCTGCTGAAGACCAGTTCTAACCCAGATTTTCACGTGTTTCACCAAATGTATGTACGGTGTAGATGTACTCCAGTGTATGTCAGGTCGACTCACTCTATGTCTGGGTGAAGTTCTCACATCTCACTGCGTGTTTGCTTCGTGTTAAACCTAGTTAGCTTGTTCCTTCCTGATGTCAACGTGCTTCACTATATGTGAATGACGGGGTAATACCACGCACATGCCACATGAACGTGAACCATTGTATACGTTTCCTATGAATATGTGCGACTACATGAAGTGATTTCGCTGGATGATTCCACGTGTCCACCCCGTGTTTGTCTTCTCGTATACACTAGACGCCAAAAGAAACGTTACCCTCCTACCTATATGAATTACTTAAAAATTATCAAAGATATGGTAGAAGGTATTAGTTTACAGGAAAGCTTAACAACACAGCTTTATGCACATCACGAAAATAAATTCCAGATTGTACCCATGTGTACATGGAATAGCTGTTGACAGCCTTGATGATTTTAAAACAAATATAACGTTACTATAGATGGCTATGGAAAAACATTTGGTGTTGTAAATCCGGGCTACTCAATTCGACCAGAGTACATAGCACATGTTCACTACGGTGACTAATGTTCGTAGTAGTGCAAGGAACCAAGAACATTTCTTGAACCGTGATGAGTTGTGGTCCTTGTACAACCGTACGCTTCGGCTTTTGTTTGAGTAAGAGTGTTTCTGTGTCTGCTGGCAGTGCCGGCTGAGATACAGACTAAACTCTAACCAGTCACTTAAGCACCCATGTATCTATTACTGGGAGACTGCAACATCTATGTGCTAAGATCGTCTATCAGTGGCAAATGTAACTTAAGTGAGTTAATACTTAGCATCACATCGGCAACATTTTAGCCATGTCGTGATGAGGTGAGGTGAAATTGGGTTTAACATCGTACTTGAGAATATTTCGCTCATATGACGACGTGCATGCGTGTGTATGTGTACATGCGGCTGCTTGTACTAGCCCAAGCTTGTTTTATAGTGCTAGCCCACTGAGATACCATGCCGCAGTGAAGCATGAATACCCCACTCACATTCATTATACTGACTCCGAGCCGACCAGTCCTTGTTGTACCCATTAATGCCGAGCGCCAGGCAGGGACCAACAAGTACCATATTTTAACGTCTTTGGTATGACGCGGTCGGGGATCGAAGCCGCGACCTTCCGCTCTCCCGGCGGACGCTCTAACCACTACACCACGGAGGCGGTCTGTCGTGATGAGAACAACTTTATATAAAAGAGCAATATATTTAGAACTTCAAAACCTGTCGTCGATAGACAATACAACTAGAGTATCAAAGATATTTAGGTACAACTACCATGTTATAAAATACGGCAGTAAAGAGGGCAATAGGCAGGTGTGAAGGCGTGTTCATTGTCAGTCACTAAAAACAGATGGTCTGTAAAACTTGATATCCAAATCTCAAGTCCGGAATATTCACCGAATCCTTACAACTTCCAACTGCAGGCATCGTAGTGACGTCACACATGATTTGAATGAGAGAACTTCGAGAGTGCGTGAGTGGGTTAAGTTTTACGCCGCAATCAGCAATATTCAAGCTATATGAGTGGCCTTGTCATCCTTGGCAAGTGTGTGATACTTAATACAATCAGTCAATGGCTTGAGTTTCTGATCATCATATTGTCTCTGTGCTATTGAGCAATCTCCTGGAAACTCGGGGATTACACTAAGAGGATTATTGCTAACGTCGTTCTCATACAAGTCTGACGAACTCTCACTTGTAGTGATAATTGATTGATCGCTATCGTTGTCCTCTGACTGAGCGACAGCGTTGCCAGCACAGTTCACGTCAGTAGTAAACAGATAGGGAATATCAGAAAGTGGGTCATCTAAGGCAGGTGGACATTCTGGATACGGCAAACGGGATAAAAAATCCGCATTACCTAACTTCTTACCTGGTCGATACTGAACGGTAAAAGTGAAATCACTCAACAAGAGTGACCAGCGGCCTAATCTAGCTGAGCGGTCTTTATTGTCTTTCAAGTACTGTAGAGCCCTGTGATCTGTCACTACTGTAAATGGAGCATGTGTCAGATATACTTGGAAATGTTTGATACCCGACACTACTGCCAAACATTCCTTTTCTGTGATTCCATAGTTTTTCTCCGCTTTAGATAAAGCACGACCACTGTAAGCAATCACTACATCCTTGTCATTTGCATCTTTCTGACCTAACAAATATCCTAGAGCCTCATCACTAGCATCTGTATACAGAATGAATGGTTTGTCAAAATCCGGAAATGCTAGGATTGGCGGTTGGAGTAGAGCTAACTTTAGGGTTTGAAAGGCCTTTTCCTGGGCGTCTGTCCACACAAATGTTGTATCCTTTTGTAACAATAAATGTAGAGGAGCAGCTATTGATGAAAAGCTCTGAATGAAACGGCGGTAGAATCCTGCCATACCAAAGAAACTTTTAACTTCCTTGGGGGTTTTGGGGGTCTGGAAATTTGCTATTACGCTAGTTTTCTCTGGATCTACCTGTACACCACTTTGTGAAAAGATATGGCCTAAATATGCAACTGATGCTTTAGCAAATTGGCATTTGGATGGTTTCGCTTTTAGGTTTGCACTGCGTAAGCACAAAAAAACTTCTTCTAGATCTCTCAAATGGGTGTCAAAATCTTGGGAAAAGCACAAAACATCATCCAAATAGCACATTGTTTTACGCCAGTTCAGATTGCGGAAAACGTCATTGATCAGTCTTTGAAATGTGGCTGGGGCAGAGGCAAGACCAAAGGCCATACGATTGAAATGGTAGGTGCCACTAGCTGTAACAAATGCACTTTTAGGTTTACTG